CTGAGCATAAAAGTAACTATAATAACTAAAGCTGTGCAGTCACAATATGTGTTTGTGTGTGTATTTTTTGTTTTATGAAAGTTTTAAAATTACATGTTTTTTCTGCTTTAAAAATAAAACGTTTATGGTTATGTATATTTTTATTCATCCATTTTTCCAAATAGAATGAGTAGTTTTGAAGACCGGAACTAGAGATTACATTTTGAGATATACTATAGTCATTGCAACTGTATCATCCCAGTGATCTCATATGAGATCACCTAATATCTCATTGATTTCTATTTAAAATGAAATTCTGACTATTTCATCGAGTTTCTCACGCTTTTTTACTATAGGTATCCAAGTTTCATAACAAAAAATCAAAGTGGTTATAATTATGGGAGGTAATGGGTTAAGGAAGGCTTTCTGTGTGGGGTGCAGAGGATTGACTCGAGTAGGATATTGGTAGGACGCCAGTCTTAAGGCCATTCTCCAGCGTGCACGCACAGCGGTACTTCTCGGAGATAAGCGAAGAGCTGGGGACTGTATAAGGTCGTATAACGAAATCAAGCGAAAGAGTAGGGCGTGAAACAGTTGGGATACCCCCACTGTTAAGGATATTCCGCCCTGTGCACGCAGGACGGCATGCAACCGCGGCCTGATAAACAATCCATTGATGACCGACAGTTGTAACACCCCTGGCGACACCGAGCGCATTACCGCATTTCCTCAGGGATGATGGGTCGCTGATCGCGTTAACAGCCATGGCGGCGCACACACCTCGGAAGCCCTCGGAAGCAAGGAGGGTTAAGGACAAGAAAGCATGACAGCATCAACTAGGCGAGTGAGTTAGAGGTAGTACTTAAGCCTCCTTCGTGTGTGCGTCCCCGCAGAAGACGAGCGGAAGCCGAACAAGGAAGGCTATTCCTAGACCAAACACGCGGATGAAGGTCTACCAAGCAAACGTGTCTGTCGTGCTTTACGAACCCGCGCTTCAATACCCCTCCTCCTTGCGGCCAGTGGGTATTTCATGGGATTTTTAGACCGCCAGAAGGCCTACTAAAATCAGTTTAACAGCAATGTCAAAAAAGAGTAATTTTTCCAGTAGCTTTCTATATTAGTGAACTTTGGTCAGCAGAAGTGCATATTAAACCGTGTTAATTTACGTGCAGTAGGCTAGGCAGGTAAATCGACCCAAGTGTGATTAAATTCAAGGCCTTCGGCGTGCCCTCGTAGCTAAATCGGTAAAGCGTTGGCTGTAATAAGGCCTTCTCTGTTGACGTGGGTTCGAATCCCACCGACGCAACGAATTCGTCCGAGTTGGATCAATAAGGGTAGACGAAATCAAAACACAGTCAAGACTTCTCAAATGAGTTATTCAAATCGGCCAATCCCGTCTCCCTCCCTCTAATAACTTTGGTCAAAGTTGTAGAAAATGGACACTCCCTGTGAAATACCTTAGAAAGCACTTTGCAAGGTAGTTTCATGTCAGGTCTTCGTTGCAGGACTCTATTTTCTTCGGTTGCTAAGTTTTATGTTTAGATAAGTTCACAAATAAGACCCAAACCTTCAGAAAAAAGAACGCCCGAAATCTCATTGTGTTGGTAGACACTTTCGATAAATCTCCTATTTTAAAGATTTAAAAAACAAAGACGATGGATTAAAAAATGTTTGTCTCTAACTAACATAATAATTCTTTCAATACCCCTTCGGGTTTCCCATTTAACTGACTTTGTTCATTTTTAAATTGGAGTATTAGTCCGTGCATTTGGGCCGGCTTCCGATCGACTTTATTCGTGAATTTACGCACACTTCACGAGTCACGTTATCTACTGTAAGTTGCCTATAATGACACTGGCAGTTTGATGGGATCACATTATAGCATCCCTCCAACACAGCCTAAGTAAAAGGACAGTGCGAGGAGCTGCTTGTAAAAAATCTCGAAGGGGAGTGTTAGAAAACCTTTCACAAGTTCCAAATGCAAACGTGGTCCCTGAAGAAAATGAGTAACAAAGCAGTAGGCAAGGCAAACAGACAAATTTGAGAATTACTTGGAGACTCAGAGATTTAATGTTGGCGGGTGTGAGAACCACCGTCTGATCACGAATTACTGCCTCCAGATCTGATTCCATAAACTCGAAGACGAGGCAAATTCCGAAGTCTTGGCTGAAGACGTCCAAAAGAGAAAGAACATTTGGGTGGCCAATCTCACGAAGTAGTTTGATTTCTCTGATGGCCGAGAGATTCATTCCATCCGCAAGGACCCATCGGGGTCCAGCTTTGACCTGAAATGTAATATTTAAGGTTAAGTATGTACGAAAACATTTTTTGGGATAGCGTATATTGTTAGGGTGTGGACGTATTAAAACTACCAGTGTCTACCGTGGTCCATTTTCGGCCCTTAATGTGAACACAGTCGCATGGTCACGACTGCTGGACATATTGATGGCCTCCAGATACTTTTGGGTGGATTCTCTTACGGTTGTTGACTTTGGACTTCTGAACTGGCAATCAGACACTGAAACTTTTCAATAGTCAGCTTTCTAGCTGGCCAACCTTATCTTGATTTCACAAGCGGACCGGTTAGGAAGTTTCAAGGTTTGCAGGGTGGCTCCATTATAATAAC